ACTACAACTAGATCCAAAAGCAGAGAGAAGGCGAGTTTAAAGTTATTATTGGGAAATTGTGATATAAAATTCAAAGAAAGAGAGGGGCTCTGCCCATACAAAATAATAACAGTCGCAAGCGACTTACAGGTATGCTAGCCAATTAACTCCAATATCAATAGAAACGCCAGGTAAAATCAATGAAAAAAAACCACGGCAAAGTCACAAACTAGCCCCATACATCCCCCCACCGGCCCTGGAACCAAGCAGAAACTGTTTGGATCCTGGCCTCCGATATTCCCCACTCAACCCCCAAACACTCCATATTGCCAATTATGGCAGCCTGCCTCTCGTGCCCCTTCTCCTCTTGTATCTGTCTCATCAGCTCCGAAAAGATTTGCCGGAGCTGATCGATATGAGCGCTATTCTGGGCAATGACACGAGAGACCCGATCTGCATCGGAATCCCTAGTGTCTTCCCTTAGCGTCTCCAAAGAGCGGAAAAATTCCGGGTTGGGAGGATGGTACGACAAAATCCACTCCGCGCAGGGTAGAAACGGAAGGGAGTTCGGGTGGAAAGCCACCAGCAGACGTTCGAGGAGAAAGCGGAGCCCTGCCGTGTTTTGGTTCAAGTTTCTCGCTCCCGGTCTTGGTTTGGAGGCTCTCGTACGGCCAGTGGCGGAGGTCTTTGGTGGGGGGGTGCCCAGAGACTCGGGTTGAGTGGGAATCCTTGATAGTTCCCAACGATACTTGACGATGGCAGAATAGACTTCTGCCCTTGAGACGTCATCATGTAGCATCATGGTGTGAGGTGGTGATGGAGAAGAAAGATTTCTGGAAGGTGGGAAGCGAGCTTTTAATCTGAGGAGGGGCAAGGTTTTGGGGGGTAAATCTGAGCTTGAGAATTTGTGATGGAGGAAGCAGAGAGAGAACACCGGGGAGGGACAGTGGTCCTTTATAGGTTTATTTTCCCAGCCACGAATATTTGTCTAGGTATGAGGTGATAGGTAGCAATAAGCTAATACAGAGTCTATGAGCCAAGAACGGTATCGTGGGGCGATCGCGCTACTTGCAAACCACCCTAATCGCTTAGGGTCGATCAGGAACACCGATAGAGTCAAGATTTTCCTGTGGGGCGCGTGCCATTAGAGCCTGCAAGCACCCCCCGTACCTTTTTTAGTGACCGCATAATCATCCCAATCCTCATTAGCGTGCTGAAAGTGGAGGTCTGAAGTGCCATGCGGATTGACATCGATGATTTAAGGTTTGCCAGGTCATGTGGAAATCAAACACACATACTTTCGCACTAGCCGGCAAGAGACCAACTCATACCCCTACCATTATACGAATCATATGGAGGTTCCTTTCGACATGTTGGCTTGCGACTACCCCGGGGAGGCGAGGAACATACTTGGAGAGAGATGGAGGCAAAATGGAATCGCACGCTACGCGCACCCCCACATAAGTGGTTATTCCTTACACAGTACTCGAGCGTTTTGGCACTAGTAGAAAATAGAGGCATATATCGCCAAGGCGCAATTTTCTAACCAGATCACCGGTACGTGAAACCGATACCTATACTGGCGCTGACGGAATAGAGATCATATCCGAATTGGCCGCCACTTTTGGTGCTGCAGGTCTCTGCGGTGCCAACCGCAATACCAATAGGGTCTTAAAGCAATGCTGTGAGTTAGGTAGCTCAGACGAAGGAAATAAAGCATTAGGGCAGTGATCCAGCCCCTCGAATTCGGTAACGTCAGAGTTTCTCGTGCGCAGACCAGACACCAGGTACCAATTGCGCATCGAGAAGATAGTGAGCTTAATCCCCCACCAAATTTGTGAAACTGCACCCCCCCCCCCCCCCCATACAACCCGGCACTCTACAGGCCCTATAGTCAAGTGGAGAAAAGAAAAGCAAAGAAATCATTATCAGAACCGCTACCGTCTATTTCCTCTAATATTCCAGATTCTGTACCTTCCATTCTTATGCGAGTGTTGGAAATTCTCTTGGGACCTCGGCTATTTAGGCACTACTAAGGGGGATAGGATACGGTGCCTGGTAAGGTGGGAGGTAGCCTCCGTCCAATCTAGCTCTTAACATCTAAGTCATGCCCGCTAGGCCGGCTGTAACGATGTACTCGGGGCAGACCTAGTTAGATGTCGTTTGTGTTCATTGGATATCACTCATTCGGTCTGTCTACTTGATTTTTTGAGGGATGTTGGGCTCAAACCTAGAAACGGTGGATTGATGAGGATGTATGATATACAAATTAGAGCAGCCCTAGCTCAGCTTCTGATCACTGCATATAGAATGGGGAAGCACTCTCGAGGAGCTTTAAAGTTGGAACCGGGTAATCATCAAATCAAGGCTTTGCTTCAAGGTAATTCTCTTGAAAACCTACAATATAATTCCTGTAGTTGAAATGGTTAAGGTTTGTATCTTATATTATTGTATTTCACCGGGGCAACTGGAGTTTCCGTATGGTGTTGCCTATTTGAAGGGGCTACATCAGATATCGTTCCGCGCTCAAGTTCACCCCCAGATAGTAAGGCAACGGACCGGAAACAGGGAATGGGATTTACGCATGGATTGCGACCGGCAACGCTACATAGGCTGTTAGGCACGTGGTACTGAATGGGTAGATATTTTCTTTCCAAAAGAATTTTCGAGAAGTGGAACATCCCGGAATCCCGCTTTTTGAACTGACAATCATGACGGTCAACGGGGGAGAGAAGTGGGTTTAGAAATTATCATTGGGTAATTGTGACGTGAATAAAGTAAAAAAAAAAGGGCACCGCCCAGGCAAAGAGTCACAAGTGACTTGCAGGTATGCTAGCCTCCATGAACGCCAATATGAACTGAAACGCCAAATCAAGCCCAATGAAAAAAAAAACCACCTCAACGCCACGAACTACCGATAGCCCAATACGTCATCCCCCACCAGCTCTGGAACCAAACCGTAACTGTTTGGATCCTCCCCTAGGATATCCCCCACTCCACCCCCAACCACCCCATATCCCTCTCCTCCTGTATCTGCCTCATCAGCTCCGAAACGCTTTGACGGAGCTGATCGATTTGTTCGCTATTGTGGGAAACGCTGCGAGAGACCCGATCGGTGTCCGAATCTCGTGTCCCCCCTAAGAGTCTCTAAGGAGCGAAAAAGTGTAGGGTTGGGAAGGTAGTGGGCGAGAATCCACTCCGTGCAGGGCAGCAGTGGAAGGGAGTTTGGGTGGAAAGTCACCAGAAGACGTTAGAGGAGGGAGCGGAACTCTACCGCTTTGTGGGTCTGGTCTGTTTCATCCGGTCACGGTTTGGGAGATCTCTTACGGCCGGTCGCGGAGGTCCTTGGTAGGAGAGCCAGAGGGCTTGGGTAGTGTGGGGATCCCTGATAATTCCCCGTGACACTTGACGATGGCAGAATAAACCTCTTCCCTTTAGATGCTATCGTGGAACATGATGGTGTGAGATGGAGATAGAGATGAAGAAAGCTTTTGGGGAGATGGGGAGAAGGGAGAGATTTTTTGAAGATAAACCAGCGTGTGAGGGTTTGTGGGGGGAGGAGAGAAGTGAGAACCCCGGGGGGAGCTGTACTTTATAATTACACGCTTCGAGTGTTGAAATTTTGTCCAGGTACGAGCAGACAAGTGGTATTGGGCTAGAGCAGAGCCCACAAGGCAATAACAGTATCTTGGGACGAGCACGCTACCGTATCCGCAAACCATCCCAACCCCCTAAGCTCAAATAAGAACACTCATGGAGCTAAGATTTTCTTACCGGACCTACTCGAGTATATTCCCAGAACACGAAAGCCTCTCCCCCAAGCTCTTTTGCATGATTACGAAACCACAACGATACCCATTCATGACCAAAATCGGAGGCCCAAAGTGCCACATCGAGTGATAACGATGATCTAAGATTTTCCAGAGCTTGTGCAGCGCCAACCCTTTAGACTTTCGGGCCAGTAAGTAAATTGCTCTACGCTTACCGCTTACTTTAACAGGAATTATCCGGAAATCCCTCCCGACACCCCGGCCCGCGACTCCCCAGCGGAAGACAGGAACACGTTTAGAGAGGGACGAAAAGAGAATATAGAATTCCAAGCTACGGGCATCTCAGATTGGTAGTTTACACCCTGCACAACACCCGAGCACTTCAAGACCGGTAAAAAATCGAAGGAGCACCTTATCACAAACCGTCAGGACATTTCCCGAACCGGACACCACCACAAAGTTGTTGGTATCCACGCCAGCACTCACGGATTGGAAAAGTCACCTCTGCATTTGGTGTCCCGTCCGGCGTTTTCAATACTAATATCATATTTCTTGAAACTATAACCATGGAAAGAGGTTCTTTGTAGTAGCAACTGGGACGGGTGGCCCGTTGACCAATTATCACATTCGTTTGTTGATAACATGGCGCTTCTTCCCGTTTTTCTCCTATAGTGACTATGGTCTAACCCCTCATTGAATATCCTCACATAACGTGCTGCCGGGAACTCCCGACACATTGCTTTCCACCGTATAGATAATACCTGATGTAAATCTCCTTTAAGTCGCTATGCATTCACCGTACCAGAATCGGCACCAGGAACAGCAGCCCCTGTCCAATTCAGCGCTTGCCAGAATACAGTTCGAGTCGTCCACGCCCACGGAGCAGATTGCCTCGACCTCCTCTGGTCAGATATAAATTTCAGTCACCGTATATCACTCGTTCTCTCAGTCGGCTTGATTTTCCGTGGGATTGCTGGAGACACAAGCACAGAGAAAGTTGCATCGGTTAGGATATATACAAATCAGCAGGCGTGGTTTTTGTCCTGATCGCTAACCGGAAAAGGGAAGAACTCTTGAGCGGGCTTTGTATTTGGATACGGGATCAATCATTAGACGATGGCCTTGGCTTAAACGCCTGACACTCTCCCGGGAGTGAAACTATGGATTTAACACATTCGGTCCCGCTCTCCTTTACCTCTTGATATGCATTCGGCTTTTAAATGCCCCTGAGAAGCTCGTTGTATGCAGACATTAGTTATCAGCAGCACTGTCTCCGGTGCATCCGGTGCCGCTGGACAGCCTGAGGTATGCCTTCGGCTCCCAACCGGGATGGGAGAGGTCTAGAAAGGGCCCTGTAAATACTTTGGTCTATTCAGATAATTAAGAACACGGTCAGTCAACCTAGCAGGGTGGATGGCTCGATATGGTATAGAATACATTAACATCTCCGGCATTAGCCCGTGTGTCCCCCACCCCCAGTCCTCATTTGGCCTGCGGCACGCTGCCTCTGCTTCTTCTCCCGCCAAATTTGTCTCCTTGCCACCACACCCTCATGCGCCACCCGACTTCCTCCCCGCCCAGCCGTACCGCGCACCTTTACTTTTGCCGGATATATGACCTTGCCAGCCGCTCTCTTGTGCGCCTCCAGAAATTCATAATTGCTCGCACGAGTAAATAGATCGATCGAGTTGCGAACCCCTGCCGTCACCTCCATCACCTCGTGAGCAACCAAAGACCCATGGAAGAAAAATCCATCACCAATTTCCAGCCCAATCCGCATTTTCATCTGCCATAAAACCAGCTCTCCATCCCGGAACCCATCCCCAAATGGTACGACACAATTGAACAGTCGCTTATCATTCATCCGATCCTGATGAGAACGACTCTGACCAGGGTCTAACCCTTGGTTTAGACAAACACCATGCCATGCTCCACCAAGTGGCATTAGCTTCCGTCCATCCGCAGTCCTGGTCTTCGCCATATCCTTCACTATAGGTCCCGTCATTCTCACATACTGTTCTGGGTAGAGGAGGCGCAATTGAATACTGCAGTAGTCAAACAGTTCCTGATTTTCCCTCAACCATTCCCTACCCTTGTCTCCATCCCTCAAAAGCTCCTCACTCTCAACATACTTCTTGTTATCCGCCCAAACAGCATAACTCCGACTGGTATAGAATCCCTCTGCCAACGGATCCCCTCCGCCGCTAGGCTCAGGGGGATCATAGGAACCCAGGGTCTTAGAGGTGTTGTTCAAAGTGATGAGAAGATGAGCTGGAATCTTGAACCGATACCCAAGAATAACACCCCGAGCATCGCAAATTTGTATTGTGCGATGGGAAGAGGGGTAGTAGGCGAATGTCTGGAGAGCGGCTGGCCGTTCCGCGATGCGAGGAAGTATCCCCCTTACCCGGTGGGAGAGCTCCAATAGAGTTAGGAAGAGGATAGGTGACCGCAGATTCAAATAGCCAACCCGCTCGCCCTCCCACTTCTCCAGGAGTTCCTTGACCACCAACTCTAGAGACTTTCCGTGGGGTATGGGCATGGGAAAACGATTGGCGGGTAAACGCCTTGATGGCAATCAAGTGATCCGCCCGTTTTTGCATATTTCTTGGAGCCTAAATCATTTCTCGTGTTAGCCCTCTTGTTAATCTTATTAACAAAGACTCCCGAATAGCAGAAGCAGAAGCTAAGAGCCGGAAGATTGATGCTTGCTTTGCTCTTTTCCCGTTTCGCACCCGGAAAAAGGAGGGACGGAGTCGGCCCAGATCGCCTCGGAACAGAAAGAGAGAGCTAATAGGAGGATGTACTACGCACCATGATATGATAGTGGTATTCCCCGAGTGGTAGAAAAATGTGGAAGGAAACCATCGAACGAGGGGAAAACGTTGCCGGGGGCGGAGCACTAGCAGTATTTCAAGTGAGGCTATTCTGTTAGGACCCGGAGGTGAACAGCAAGGGTGGAGGGAAGGGCGTAGGACTCGGGGGGGGGGGTGCTGGGACCGTCGTCGGACGGCGCTGGTGTTAAATCTGCGGACCGCAAAAGCCAGAATAATTGAACCGTACGCTTCGAGGTCCAGAATTCCCGTGGCCGGAAAGGGGGGCAAGTAGCAAAACACACGGCTCATCTCCCAGTTCCGAGGCGGAAAAAAGAAAACAAAAGCTTCTCGGTCTAACCGAGAGAGGAAAGCGCAACGACACACCTTACTCGAGTCGCACAGGGTCCAATTCTTCAGTTTCTGCATTACGGTATCATACTGCAGCTCTGTTCTCGTATCTTGGGAAATGAAAAAATTCTGTGCACAATCCTTCGTGTACAGTACCTGTGTGTCCAAACGGGCGCATTGGCCGATCCCGTCGCCTACCAAGAAAAGGGTGGGATTCTATTGATCGTAGGGGTATGATATCCTTTTGATATCCCCACAAACTATCGGTAGGGGTGGGGGAAATAAATCACCGGCCCGCACCGCTAACTCGGACCCCGGTTCTTGAGCCGTACTTGGCCATTTACCAGGTATAAAGTCTCCGGCCGCCTTGGCGCCAAGATCGGCACTTGTCAACGCCGAGTGTCCGAATACATTGTCAGCGGCGAAGTAAACGTTCTTACTACTGTTTTTCTCCTCAGTTTCTTCCCCCTTTACAATTACTTGTCCGGATTTCCCCTGCTTTCGCAACAGTCTCTCGGCTCGGCGTTTTTTCTTTGCTTTCCTTGTGCAGTTTCTGCCCTGACTAGTGGGCAGCGCGTCCAAAGGTCTCGAGCGAGTGTCTGAGTTTGGGAAGCGAGGCCTATTACAAGTATTTATTTCCCCTACCCCGCTGGTATGGGATAGTATCCCTGTGTTAAACAGATCTGCTTCCTCCACAATCTTCTCCCGAAGTTCATGATACCAGTACTTCATGGTCCGTCATACCGCTCGATTACATGAGCTGGCCTGTGCCTTGACCTCACTCTCAGACCCACTCCCTGGTTCGTTCGCTATGATATGCGGTCAGTCTATACCCCTAACCCTCCCTCCCATACCGGAAGGGAAAAAACGTACCCCCTTAAAAAAAATTAAGGCCCTGCACGGCATGCCGCCATAAAAAAAAATGCTATTTTTCTTAAAACAGCATATTTCTGAATCTATGAATAGAATAA